GACTGAATTGATAAACAGTAACTATAATAACAACAAATGGATCTGTATTGTTAGCTAGAGATTTGTGCTGTTTTCTATTCATTTTAATTGAGAAAAACACAATTGAATCAAACTGTGCATTGAACAGAACCCTATCATAAAACACCGACAATTTATTCTCGTATATACGCTCTTTATCACTGGAGTTTTCTATCGATTTCTAAAACTACAGCATCATTAGCATCTGAACTTTAATCGCAAACACAATTTTATTTCCTTCCTCGCCAATAACACGATAAAAGGGTTTGAATGATAAATACGATAGGCTAGCTACTATAAGAGAAACAAACGCCTCGAGCGATATCTCTCGCAGCAGTTAGCGGACAATTCCTCTTGTTTCCATATTTAGATAATTTGGAAATGCTACCACAATAACATTCCCAGCCAATTAATAATTTAGAATCACGATTATGCTGCCTTGATGTCTGTTCTTGTTTTGTAAGCTAGCACCAATTGAAATATTCAGGAATTATTAAAATACAGCACCTTGGTCTACAGCGAAACAGTCTCCAACACAAATACAAAGACATGTTTAAAATATTAACGTGATTCGTATAAAGGCTTTCTTTTTCCACAAGCCCTAAACGCTATTCGACCAAGCCAAAAACAAGCGGTTTAAAAATTAAAAATATCTGTCGTTTATAACTAGCGGGAAGTTTTCTGTGAGCATTTCGGTTTCAATGTATGTTTGAAGTTTTGATCCGCAAACGAAAACGCCACTTAATTTGATTTATACTCGAGTAACACACCTTTCGAATTTGACACGGAAACAAACGGAGATATCCCCGACGCAGGTAGTTTTGCTCAGTCTTACCTGAATAAAATAAATCGCCGATTTGAATTTCTGGTCGCATGGAAACGCTACGCGAATCAGACGAGGAGATGGACTCAGAAAACGAGTTACTACCGTACACTTACGAAGGCGGACGGAACGAAAATGGCGAACGACACGGAAAGGGGAAAGCAAGGCTTCCAAACGGTGATCTGTACGAGGGGGAATACAAGAACGGTTATCGCAATGGGTATGGAAAATACGTGTTTAGGAAATTGAAAGGAAAGTCGCGAAATGCTTGCTATATGGGGCATTACGATAACAACAAGAAAAACGGACAAGGGACATTTCTGTATCCCGACGGCGCAAAGTTTGAAGGAAGCTGGAAGGAAGATTTAAGGCAGGGATTTGGCTCGTATTACTACACTAACGGCGATCTGTACCGCGGAGACTGGGAGCACGATCGAAGGCACGGGCAAGGGTCATATACATACGCGGCGAGCGGGATGTCGTACGATGGCCAGTGGTTTGAGGGAAGCGATCAGGTAAATACAACACACACACGATCTCCGGGTTTAACACAAAGACAACAATAACATATTTAGGAGAAACGCATCAAATTGGAGGAAAAGTGAGTAGAAACACTTTTAGCGTTCACACAGTTTTTCTTTTTTGAATACGATAATTGAAATATCAGGAGCTTAAATTGGAACGAACATAATTTGCACAATTTGGCCAGTACATTTGATCGTGACGGAACTCGCTTCTGGGTAAACATTTTCGTCAGATCGGAAACTCTGAAGACGGCACTGTGCAAAATGACACTCTTTTTCTTAAAATGACAGAAAAAAAAACACTGAAAATACAGTAATTACTACGTCTTGACGCAGAATTAAAAATATTTATATTTCTCAAAATCCGCTAAATGAAGAATTTCTTGAAGAGGTGGTTGCTAGGCGCGTTAATGTGTCCATGAAATATTAACAACTGAAACGTGCTACGCATAAATAAATTAGAAGCAGCTCATAGCATAAACACAAAGAAAATTGATACAGCACTGAATGAGAAAACTAACGAATTTATGCAGCTTGATAAAACAAAATGGAAATAACTGTAGAACGTTCAAATGGTGGTATAAAGCGAGAATATTCTACGAGAAACTTATTAATAACTAGAGATTTGACAGCAAATCAAGAAATGTAAATTAAATGAGACAAGGTTTTAAGGGTCACAAAAATAGATGACACATAACATTTTACGCATATAAATCACAACAATTCCTTTTCCTCAAAGGAAAACAAAAATATGTGATTTAAATAGCGCGATTCTAACACGTAATTTCGATATACTGGTATTACTCGACTTGAGCTAATGCAGTGACATCATTACGAGGCTTCAGCCTCGCAATGGTGAGTATTGTGCCAGGTAGATTTTTACAATATATCGAAATACTAAGGGCTAGAATGTAAATTTCCCGAAAATTTTCCGATCAAACACGATTAACAACAAATGAAATTGCATACTTTTGAAGTTGCAACACAGATGGACTTTGAGTAAACCGTTGCGACATTAACTCCATATATAGGCAGGAAAAAAGGGTTTATCGTGACAATTATCAATTTCTTTAAATATCACATTACAATCTCCCGCTGTTTGAAGTTAGTCGGTAAAATTTCCGTTTAGCATTTGCAACTAAACTCTTTTCTATTAAAAGATAACTTTTTGTTTATCTTTCAAAGAACCTTTTAACTAAACCGTGTTTAAGATAAGAGATGTAGTCCTGAATAAATAATAATATCAAAGCTCCCGTATAAAGCGGACACCCTCGAGAAGCAGAAAAAGTGTCCGCAACTGGAGCTGACCACTTACGGGAATGTGTAAATACAGCGTTTGTATGAACTAGACTTCAAACGGGGTTTTGTCAAGGCGGTGGTAAGTAGAGCTGTCCGCTTACGCCGGAAAGTGTCCGCTCAGAGAGCTTCGACTGTAGTTCAATAAAGCAAAATAAAATATTGTATAAAATCAACGAGCATTTACCGCGTGAGAATTTTTAACAGGTTTCAATTTGCGATATTTTTACCATCTGCAAAAAAAAATCTTATTCTGAGCCAAAATAGAATTTTGCAAAATTTAACTGCACTATTCAATATCCTGGAAGCGCGCGCATGTAAAATTTCCGAAACACAAAACTAGAAATAAACCACCTTCACTGAATATTTTTGTTGAATAGATCGGTCTCTGGGTTATGCTAAAACGGCTCGCTATCGGTTTTTTAATAGTTGACTCGAGATTTCGCCCCTCGCCAACTATCAGCCGATAGAACCCTCGAGCACACCGTCTAATTGTTAATTATAAGAACGCGGGGGATTTAACGAAGTGGACAGACTATACGATAATTTCATCGTTTGCTTACTTGTCTGTCTGTCTGTCTGTCTGTCAGACGGTCTGTCTGTCAGTCTGTAAGTCTGTCAGTCAGTCTGTCAGTCAGTCGGTATGTCTGTCTGTCATTCAGTCGGTCAGTCAGTCAGTCAGTCGGTCAGTCAGTCAGTCAGTCTGTAAGTCTGTAAGTCTGTCAGTCTGTCAGTCTGTCAGTCTGTCAGTCTGTCAGTCTGTCAGTCTGTCAGTCTGTCAGTCTGTCAGTCTGTCTGTCTGTCTGTCTGTCTGTCTATCAGTCTATCAGTCTGTCAGTCTGTCTGTTTGTTTACTTGTTGTTGTGTTTTGTTTACAGGGAGAGGCAAACTAACATTCGGGAAACAAAACTACATCGGGAATTTTCACGACGACAAAATGATCGGCCCTGGAACGTACATCTTCCCAACGGAACGCAACAACATGGCGAGTACATCGTCGTCGAGGAGGAGCTCGAAGATGTCAACGAAACAACGAAAGGAAAGAACGACGGAGAAACCGAACACCGAAGCCGCACGAAGCAGGTGAAAATCAAGTGGATTAGTCGGAGCGGTGACACGCCCCCTGTTACAGTCATCAAGAAGAGACAATTATTAATTAACTGACTTGATTCAGTTACGGTTTAGAATACAGTCGAAGCTCCCGTAAGCGGACACCTTCGGGAAGCAGAAATAGTGTCCACAACTGGAGCTGGCCGCTTACGAGAATGTGTAAATACAGAGTTTGTATGAGCTAGGGTTCAAATGGGGTTTTGTCAAGGCGGCCGTAAGTAGAGCTGTCCGCTTACGAGAGTGTCTGTACAGAGGGCTTCGACTGTATTAACAATTTTTTTTATAACGGGTTAGCGACGGTGCTGGACATTTGACTATCTTAAAGGAGCTATGTCACGATATTTTAAGTCATTTTTGCGAAATGCAAAATCATCTTCAAATTGAAGAAAGCCTCAAAATCATAGTTTACTAAGGTAGAAAAACACTAAAGAGGTGATAATAAACCCTTATAATATACTCAACAAAATATGCAGCTTCTGATTGGTCAATGACGAATGCATAAATGGGTTATAGAGTGCAATACGGAATTGTGATAAACGGTACCGGACAAGTAGAGACGTTTTTGCCACTTAATGGCATTGAAATAAGCGTTCAAGTTAATGGTTAAATGTTTTCTAAACTATAGTACTGTAATTCTTTCAAAAAGTTCACGCTTGGTTTGCCTGCGCGTTCAAATAAAACATGTGAGCACTTTGGAAACTAGTGAAGCGTTTCGTGTGCAGAGTAGCGTGATGGCCGCAGCAAAATTTTGTTGAGAATATTATAAACAAAAAATCGTATGAACTGCTCATGCAATTAATGATTTATGGTCACTCGTGATGTTTGAAAGTTCTCAAATTGCACTCGCCTAAAGGCTCGTGCAATTTTGAGAACTTTCAAAACATCACTCGTGCCCATAAATCACGAATTGCACTCGCGTTCATACGATTTCCTATACAAACAGGAACAAGGATGGTTGAGGATGGCGAAGATTAAGACGGATTGTGAATGGCGAACTTGAAAAATTGGCCAATTTTTTCAAGTTGCACAAACCGTGACGTAGCTCCTTTAAAATATCTAATACGAAGGTAGGAATTGTAGCTTTTTCTTACTGTAAAGGAGCTATGTTACGGATGGCGATCTTCGCATTCTCTCGCGAACGTCACAAGTGACCAAGAGCGAAGAGAGGCTACAAATATGAATCAAATTTAGCAGTTGTAAATAAATCCCAGAAAAAAAGAAGAAAATTTTGGAGCTTCAACGGGATTCAAACCAATGTTCCTTGCGATATACCGCAACCTCGTTCCCAGGGCTTTTCCCTTCTAAATTAGGAAAAGCCCTGGGAACGAGGTTGGATATACCGGTGTAAATATGCTCTACCACTGAGCTATGAAGCCACTGGGAATATTGTAAATCTATTGAAGAAAACCCGGGTAGCTTCAGAGAAAAAATAGCACCAGCACCTCAACATGAAAAATACACACAGCATGTTCTTATATAAAGTAGAAATTAGAAATTAGAAAAAGAAGAAGTAGCAGAAGAGGCAGATAAACTATAAAAATTTGGAATTTTCTTAAAGTAGAACTGTTACATCAATTTGAAAATTGGTTTCCATGCCAACCGTTGGAAAAGAGCCGTGAGCACAAGATATGAATTAATGGGTTGTAATCAGCTAAATATTTATTTAATGAAGAGCCATATGTTTCAGCTCCGACCATGACTAAGTATTGAAGGAAATGTTTATATGTAAGAGCTTGGTCTAATAAAGGGGCAAAGGTTGACAGCGATGTCTTCAGTTCAGTTGTAAACTATTGTATGCACTTGTAACAGTGCAGAATTGAAAATACTTTTTTCTTTTACATCTCCTATAAAAAACACTTCAATCTATAAGTTATTGCACTTTAGTATTATATTCAAGTTTGGATGCCCTAAGCATGAACGAATTTTAACTGTTGTCAAAATTCAAATTTTATAAAGTAAAATATTGTGGACTGTGTATTGACAGAATTTTAACATTGTGTATTAAACACTACATCCAAATAAAATATTTCTCAGTAACGCTATTTATTAGTAAAAAATATTAATTTTTATTTTGTAAAACTATCCGAATTCAGTCCATGAATAAATTCAGACTTTACACAAATGATGACTATTGTCTATCTCTCTGTATTCAGCCTATGTATAAGATGATTTCTTCGCGTTCAAAAATGATTCTCTCGAGATGATTAATTCGATAAAGTGATTCGTTTGAGCTCGTATGCAAATCAAACCAGGATGAATTTAACGTTATCTTGAAATCAATCGATCACCCTTCACTTTTTCTCCCTTTCTGCGGATATAATTTAATGGATATTTGTTAAAGTCGCCATATATGTCACGATATATTAAGTCATTTATTTCGACATACAAAATTCCCTTCAATTCAAAGGAAACCTAAAAAAATTCACCATCACTTCTTTCTACACACACCTCAAAATAATAGTTTACTAAGGTAGAAAAACGCCAATAAGTTAATAATAAACCATACAGGAACAAAGATGGTTGAGATTGGAGAAGATTAAGACGGATTACGAACGACGAACATGAAAAAATGTAGGCTAAGTATTCCAAGATTCGCCAGTAGGTGAGTCTGGACATTGAGACGCTAAGATTTGAAATTTAGATTCCATTTGGAAGGCAAACTTCCGGGAGAAACCGAAATTTTCTTTATGGTCGTAATTTTGTAGTGTTGACTTAGAAACGTTACCGACAGTTTCTGAAATAGTATATACGTAAAAATACTTCTGGGAAGATTCTGTTGATGATAGTCCGTGATCTTATACATTTTACTTCTTGTGAAAACACTATATGAAATAACAAGATGGATGGAAACCAGCGAAACGAAAAAACAGGCAGATATTACATGTACCCTCAATGAAATTAAAAAAAGTGCTTAAATTATCAGCAATCTTTCATTTAAAATGACAACCCTTTACCTTTACATGTATGTCAAATTAGTTTCAGGGAGTCGATGTTATTTCTTCTTTATAACAAGTCTATTGATATCATAAATCCTGTTTTGTAGATGTTAGCTTAAAATCGGCAAAACAAGCTCACGGTTTTACGTTAAAAGGCATCAGTATTAATTCAGTTACAGTGTTCATTGCCAATTTACGCGATGGCTGGCACAGATCAACTAGATATTCCACAGATATTGGCAATCCTTAGGAGACCATAACACAAGAGAACTGATGCCCCCTATAAAGTCTTCTTCCACGGAGAATCCGTTCAGATCTATTTTTGTCACGCACATAATAATTATCATCTTCCCTTATTTATAAGTAAAGATTGTTCTGAATGGCTAATTGATAACTTCTTGGAAAACTCCAATTCGATAAACAACGCTCTCTTTAACCTTTTCACTCCCAAGAGTGCTAATTTCAAAACTGAGCAAAAATCTTGAATTTCATTTTGTAAAAATTGTCAAAATCAAACAGCACCACTTGAACGTACTGCTCAATAGCTTTCACTTGAATAGTCACACACTAGGGTTTCATCCACAGACTTAAAAGTTAGAACCACCTTGTACAGCATAATAAACAGTACCACATGAATAGCTTTCATTTGAATGGTCACACACTACGGTTTCATCCATAGTTACATGTATCGACTCAAGTTTGACTCTGGGAGTGAAAGGGTTGATACTTATATGAAATCTTATCAGGCTGCTAATTTTTGCGATCACTAATTTTATTTATCGCTTTCAACGAT